TGAAACACGGCTTCATTGATCGCCATGGCGCTCTTGCTTCATGGGGAAACTCAGAAGAAACAAACCGAAAAGAATGCTGGCAAAGGGCGTGGTGTTGAGTGTAATCATCGAAGAGGCCATGTGGTTCGACTTGATCTTGGATATCTTGACTTGCAAGGTACACTTGTTCCACCATTGGCTGAATTGCACCATTTGAAATATTTGGATCTAAGTTTCAATAGTTTCAATCTCACTGAATTCCTTAAATTCATTACTTCTTTAACCCATTTGAAATATCTGGATCTCTCTTTCATGAATCTCAAAGGCAAAATACCTTATGAATTGCGAGATTTGTTCCGCTTGCAAGTATTGTCCCTTTCTTCAAATCAGCTTTAAGGTGGGGTACACAAATCCTTGGAGTTATGTCGTTTCCAGATATTGGATCTAAGTGGCAACAACTTGAGTGATGAATTAGATGACTTTGTTGAATCATTCAGGTGTGTGCTAACAATTCCCTAGAGCTCTTGAGTTTATCTAGAAATCAAATTGAGGGGTCGGTGCCAGATCTCACTTCTCTGGAAACTTTAGAGCTTGGGTGGAATCAATTAAATGGAGTCTTACCTAATAGCATAGGACTATTGTCAAGACTTGTGTATTTACTCATTGGAAATAATAATTTGGAAGGTGTGATTTCTAAAACTTATTTTTAAGACTCTTTAAATTGAAAGAGTTAGACTTATCTTTTAATCACTTGGTCTTCAATGTTAGTGGTCGTTGGGTCCCCCCTTACAAATTGGTTTAGGGATCTTCCTTTAGAAAAGTTAAACCTTTCACACAACCAAATTGCTGGCAAGCCTCCAAATTTCTCAGTGGTACCTTACTCTACTGTGCAAATAGATTTGAACTCAAATTGATTTTAAGGTCCAATTCCGCATAATTTGTCAAAAGTAGTAGCATTGGATTTATCTAATAACAAATTTTCAGATGCTACAAATCTCTTGTGTCCAAATGAGACCATACTTTTAACTTTTCTAGATCTCTCAAATAATCAATTGTTTGGAGTGCTTCCTAATTGCTGGAAATATTTCAAATATTTGATGTTTTTTTAATGTAGAAAATAATCGCCTCTTTGGAGAGGTTCCTGAATCAATAGGTGCACTGAGACATATCCGAGCATTGCATTTTTCGAACAACAAATGTGTGGGTGAAATACCATCCACGTTGAAAAATTGCACTTTGCTAGAGACATTTGATGTTGCCTAAAACAATTTCTCTGGATTGTTTCCTAGCTGGATTGGAGATGGACTTAAAATGCTGCGTATACTCATCCTAAGATCCAATATGTTTCCGGGGAGTTTGCCCTCCAATACTTGTTATCTTTCTCAAGCCCAAATACTTGATTTGTCTATGAACAACATCTCGGGAAGTTTACCTAAATGCATGAACAATCTTTCTGCTTTGGCTAATAAAACAAACTCTGATGCAAATATCAGTTATTCTGCTTCAGATAATGAGTTTCGTGATCTTAATGGACCGATAACATTTGGGTTATTAGATAATTTATTAGAAGATAGTGCGTTACTGGTTGTGTAGAAAGGTAAAGAGGCTAAATATCAAAGTATCTTGGGACTTGTGAAAAGTATCGATCTCTCCAACATGTTAACCGGAGAAATTCCAAGTGAAATGATGGATCTTGTTGGATTGGTTTCCTTAAACTTGTCGAGAAACAAGGTTCATGGAGAAATCCCTCCGACCATTGGACAGTTGGAGTCATTGGACTCCCTTGATCTGTCGAGAAATCATTTGTTTGGAAAAAATTCCTTCAGAAACTTGCACACATAGATTGCCTTAGTGTAATGGACTTATCAAACAATAATCTGTCCGGTGAAATCCCACAAGGAACTCAACTTCAAAGTTTTGACGTGTCTGCTTATGTGGGAAAATCTTGATCTCTGTGGAGCTCCTCTCCCTAAATGTCAAACTCATCAGCCAACTAGAGAAGATCAAAATGATGGAATCTTGAAGACGATATCAATTTTCAGCCTAGGGTTCTACATCAGCTTGGCAATGGGATTTATCACTGGATTTTGGGGAGTTTGCTGCTCGTGTTTTTTAAAAACGCAAGGAGATATGCTTACTTTAAGTTGTGGAGTGACATATATGACAGAATGTTCGGGATTGTTGTCATAAGCACGGCTTGCGCAGATGGATTGGATCAGCCTTCAGCATAATGGGTAATCAACATTGGATTTTGTCTTTTCAAATCAACTAATTTCGTTCGTGCTACTTTAATTTCTTCTGTAAATGAACTGATGATTGCATGTCACATATAAATTGTTGACCAACAGCTGATAACATGCATCTTCTGATATTCTTAAAAATTCATCTGTACGTGAATGCAAATGATAAAATTCATGCTTGAAAGAAATAAATTAATGGGGATGGACAATTTAAGAATCATCAAAGACACAGTATAAATATAATCCTTATAGAGTCCAGTGAAATGAGGCTGATTTACTTCTTAAAAAATCAATTAAACTTTGATTTCTTGCATTTTTTTTTTTTTGAAAAATAAACACCGCATATATATGTTGCAAGGCGAGGTTCTGATTTTGTAGCGTAGAAATTTGATAATATATATTCTTAAATTGTGAAATTAATGAAGTGGAGTTTTCTCGACATTAGCGAATGTGTTTGTTCATTTGTTTGAGATCTTAAACTATGTTAATTAGCTAGTAACAAGTTAAGTAAACTCTGTTAATTAGCTAGTGACAAGCTGAGTAAGCTTTGTTTTGTTGTTGATTTAATTACATATTAGTTTCTTCCTTACAAGGAGTGCAGATGATCTGCTGCCCAACGTTACCAGATATGCTTGTTTCAACTTCGTCGTGAGATTGCATTTACAATTAAGGCCCATCTATTTTGACGAAGTTTATTTTGAGATTTTGTTTTGGGCTTCAAATTCACGACTAATGATAAGGCCCAAACCACCATCAAGGCTCAAAACTCAAAAGAATGCAAAATAAACCGAGGACGATGAAGAAACAGAATCTTTGTTGTTTTTCCCACCTTCAAATTGTTACGTGAGACTGGGACCCATTTTTTAATCGAAATTTAGCATGATCCGTACTGTTTACAATGTGTCATGGTCTTGGTTAATTAATATTCAATACCATTCAGTAAGAGAGGAACACAAAATAAAACAGCAAACGACACCGTGCGGAAATATTCTATTCAAAAAGACTATGGAAAGATCTGCTGGCTCAAAAAAATCAAATTAAAAAAAAAAATCAAATGACTTTGAATTTGAGCCCATAAAGAAACGTCAAGCTTGGCCACAGGTTACTCCATGTCGAGTGACTTGGATTTTTCGATGGAGCTGTGAATTTAAAGGCTCTCCCACAACTATAACGTATAAGCTTGGCCACTGGTCGTTTTGTTTGTTTTCTGGCTCAAAGTCTATGAAGTTTCTCTCACACGGTGAAAAAAAGTTGATCAAATTTTCTACTAATTTGTCAGATTCTTCATTGGATCACTTGAAGGAAAGAAATGCCATAAAAAAACAGTCAGGGTGGAATTCTAAATTAAAATTGCTAAACAATTTTGAATATATATATACCCCATTTCTTTTATAGACTATTAGAATTTGATATCTAAACATCAAGCTCATAAAATTTAAAAACTTAAAAATTATATAATAAAGTTACTACAATCAGTAATTAAAATATGAAATTTAAAAATAGTGAGAAAAAGATTAAATTAAAATAAAGTTAAAATATTTTTAAAATATTAAAAATTTTTATTAAAATTTAAGATTGTAATTTATAATTAATTACGTTAAGAAAAAATTAACTCTCCGTAAAATTAAAAATCAAACTGCAATAGGTGAACCACTTCGCGTGCGTGCCTTTGCCCTGTGCTCTCCAATTCCCTCCTTCGTACAAGTCGTCTCCTTTTATATTAAAAGTCATGCTTTCCTGCACGTGATTTGAACGGCTAGGAAAAGTAATAATAAAGCAATAAAATTATTCTAAATAACTTTAATTGAAAACAACGTGACAAATTCAAAATAAATATAAACTGAATTTATAAAATTTGATTATTAATTTAATTTTTAAATATGTCCACATTCTTTTATCTAAAATAATATTTATTTATATCCTTTAAATTAGATTTATAAAATTTATACAAATAAAATAAAATTAAATAGAAAATGTGTAAAAATATTAAAAATATCATTTATACTTTAAAATTTCAGATTTAGTTAGTTAAAATTTCAAAATTAAAGATTGGTTATTAAAAAAAATAATATTTAATTAAACTCAATTAAATTTAAATAAATAATTAAAAATTGAAATTAAAAAATTATATAAAATTATTTTTTATCAGATGTTGTCAAAAAAATTTTCAAAGTCTATATATTATTTTCGTTTAAATTTAGTCTGGCGAGAAGACTTGCTTCTCAAATCAAGACATTGGCTCTAATATCATGTCTTGTTTTTCCACAACCGTGTGGAAATTTACTATGCGTATGATCATGAAGCCTTTCACGCGGTATGACGATTATTTCAAGATGGTTAGAGAAAATGACAGTCATATACTCACTCCACAATTTATATTAATGATAATTTTAGAGTTTAATGCTCTTTAAATAATTAAAAAAATTAAATGAGCTATCACAAGTAGTCTTTCACAATTATATTTATATTCACACATCCTAAAATTATAGTTATATTATATACTTAATTTGCTTCATGTTTTTGTTGAATTTTCCCAAAGATAAAGTTGGCTCTTATTTTTCTCTTTCTGGTATGAGTAAGATCAGCACATGCAACCAAAATTGACAGATGCAAAATAAACACGATTGCCATTCAATTCGTATATTTTACTTCATTTATTATATATTTATATTAATAAAGCCAAAATTATATATGGAAATGTGTTAAGAAATTAAAGTGTATGAAGTCTCTTACAACACAAGGCATACTAATATTGCACAGGGCAGTCTGTGAGTAGCAGGGTGGCCATTAAATACTTCGCCTGATCTGTTCTTCGTTGTTCACAATACTGCATCGTTGACCTCTTTGTTAAAATATTTATTTATAAATTTACATTAATTAATAAGTCCAAACAAGTTGGTCCTTTTGATTTTATGTGAATCGTGATAGGTGAACCACACAAATAAATCTAATGGGCAGAGGCCTAACTTACAACCATATAATCGTCAGTTATTCCCTATCTCTTAATTGACTGGATCAAGATAATGTAAGATAATTAATTAATTTATTTATTAAAACAATTACTAATCTAATTCATATAGGCTGATCAGTTGATAACAACAAACATATGATAGTTTTTTCACTTTCTCCATTATCTCTAAATTCTCTACAACTTCAGGGGTCTAATAAATTGTGCATCTACTCATACTCAAAGTAATCGAGATATTTCAAACAGTTATGAATTCTTTAGGTACACACGTTAATTTATTTGAATTTTATTTAATTTATATAAATTGAGATACTAAAGTTAACCCATGGCATCAGAACTTAGTTAAAATTATTTGATTTGTAGTGTCTCAATTATTTTATGAATTATAATTTGTTGACTTCTCATCTTCTATTGAGTCTTCTATTTGGTAAATATAGAATATTGCATGGTGGCATTGATTTTATTATTGTCGGATTCACAGGGGTGAAATCAAGGAATATTTTGTTTTTTCTTTTATAATTTGAAGCCAAGTCCTTTGTGAATCACGACTTACCGAATGAATATCATAAACATTACCCCCGTCTCCAGAATGAAGATGGATCTGAGGTGCGTTGTAGCTTCCATTGTGATGGTGCTTTTGCTGCATTTCCACTCACTGGCTTTTACTGCTGTCAAGTGCATAGCTAGCAAGAGGCTCGCTTTTCTTTCTCTTAAACTAGGCTTTGCGGATCACAATGGCTCCCTCTCCTCTTAGGGCAATGCAACGTAACCCAACAGAATGTTTGCAACTGGCATGGTGTTAAATGCGACCACCAAACCGGCCATGTGAGGGGGACTTTATCTTTACTAGCAAAATTTCAAAGGCACGTACAATCTCCCCATCATTCGTTGATCAAATCCTTGGCTTTCTTCAACTTAATAGAGAGTTATATATATCTATCCTGCGATTCATTGAGTGGCTGATTAGATGACTTTGTTTCATCATTCAGCTATTGTGCTAACATATCACTACAATACTTGGATTTGTCTCGTAACCAATTCATTGGCCCCTTATCGAATTTCTCACACTTCTTGTATCTAGAAAGGTTGGTTCTAGATTACAATAAACTCACCGAACATATAAGCCATAACATTGGATTGTGATCGGGCTTGAATGTGCTATTGATTGTGCATAATTATTTCCAAGGTGTCATATCAGACACTCATTTCTTAGCATTGATCTTTTTTAGCGTTGCAAACAAACACCTCATTGGAAAAATTCCAACTTCAATTGGTTCATTGAGTCAAATTTAAGCATTACATTTAAGTCACAATTGACTGAGTGGGAAAATACCTTAGGCGTTGAATAAATGCATAGATTTAATAACCCATGATGTTGCCCAAAG